TTCCTCTTAACTGTCACTAGTCTAATACTATCCTTACCTTTTTTTTTTCATTTTACCCCACTCCCTCTAGCATGTAAGGTCTTGTAACAATGCAATGATTTGTGGACCCAGGACATACTTGAAAACGAGAGAAATCTCAATGTATATTTCCTGGTAAAATATTTTATAAATAAATGTAAGCTCATTGAGCAGGGCCCTCAACCCCTCTGTTCCTGTGTGTCCAACTTGTCTGGTTACAACTACATGTCTGTTCGTCCACCCATTGTAGAGCGCTGCGGAATTTGATGGCGCTATATAAATATTATAATAATAATAATAATAATAATAAATGTTCACAAAGGGTCTAATTTATGAATAAATGGACAATATATATTATGCAACATGCAAGAACCAAAGGAGGAAAAAAACAAACAAACAGTGCATGATAATTCAAAACACGACATAAATAATATATAGTATAAACTTTCCACTATGCAAAAGTTTAATATCTAGGAGCAATTAATGAATAAATGAGCGTAATTAAATTCTATATTTAAGCCTGAAATGCCATACTCTGTGCATCCCCGCTGTGATAATTTAGCAAATGTCATAAAATATTCACTGAATTTATATGTTGTTGAATAATACGACAGAGTTTCTGGTAAGTTTTAAAACAAAAGGACAGGCTGAACAATTGCACATCTGTAAACTTCTTTAGTCAATGTGAGCCAAGTCTGTGGTTTAGATACAGGTCACAGTAGCTGTGTACCAATAGATATGTCAGATTAAGGGATATTCGAGCAGGAACTGCAGGAGCAATAGCTAACATATCTTTAAGGTCTGGGTCTGTCAATAACATGGGCCAAAATGTCTTCATAGATTTGAGGGTACTGTTCCATGCTGGATCAAAGATAGTAATACATTTAATCTGGTTACCTTCCTGTCTGGTCTACAGAATAAATCCATCTAGCCTAATATAATTTTCTCTCCCATATGAGCATTTTTAAATGTTTTATTTTTATTATGCTTTCTGTACAATTATTAGCGCCATCTAATTTCTAGATCTAAAAATACCAGCTTCAATGACATGCACTTAAGATGTGTGCAGAGTGTGCCCTCTTTTTTTCATTTCAATAGAATTTGGCACTTTTATGAATCAAGTTTGTTACACTTCCATGGTTATCAAGCAGACTACAGGTCTTGTTACTTCCTGGTTCTTCGGTAAAGCTAAACTCAAGAGGCAACAAATGCCCAGAGCACCTGCCTTGCGAAGACTTCTCCTTGAGTTGCTTTAAGAAATTTGGGATTGGACAACTACAGAAAGTCTGGGCTAAGAATGGTTCTGAAAGGAGATCTGAAGCTTTTGCCATCTGTTTTTAGATATACCTCCAATGGAAAAAAAAACATAATTAAATGCATGTTTTCATTGGAGATGTATCTACTAAATAGTTATTATTTTTTTATTTTATATTTGGGCAGTGGAGTATCCAGTGGAGTAAGCCATTTCTTTGAAATTTGAACAGCCCCAGTCCATAGGATCAGAACATCATCCATGTACCTGATCGATAGTTTGACATACTGTGTGAATTGCCTTGATATCCCCCTTAGTAGCTGGGGATACCCTCCCTATTTAGGAGTGATTAGACCCTCTGCACAAGGCTTTCCATCAGGAGCATCGAGTTCTTTCTCAGAGGTGGAATTGCGGGGATCTGGCTGTGCCGGCATTTTAGTCCTAGCCCACGGTTGCAGGAGGTTGCTGATGTCGCAGGAGCATTCTTCTGAGAAGGTTTTCAACTTGAAAATGTTTGGTATACGCCGTGAGAGCTCAGCGACACGCATCTGCTCTCTTCAGTGTTGAAGCCACATCACCTTCTCATGGTGTTTTGGCTTGACTTGCCATGCTTTTGTGGGTTATAAGAAAACAAATACAAAAAAAACCTCCCCTTTCTGTCTTAAGCAAGTCTGGGTTCATTTTTTTTAATTTCCTTTAATAGGTTATTTAACGATTAATACCCTACAACTTCAAAATGAATTATATCTTGGTTTTCAGGTTCCCTAGAAAATAGTCTCTTTCTTTGTCCTTGCGGGGGTAAATATTATATTATTATGTATAAGTTTCCTTCTGAGCACAATCCATTATAACCTCAAAAAACACAGTGAACAAAATCCACTCTAATCCACTCATAGTTACATAGTTACATAGGCTGAAAAGAGATATGTACATAAAGTTCAGCCTTCCTCACATCTGGTTTTTGCTGTTGATCCAAAAGTAGACAAAAAAAAAACAGTTTAAAGCCCCTACAATTTTGCAACAAACTAGGAAAAAAATTATTATTGACCCCAGAATGGCAGTCAGATTTATCCTTGGATCAAGAAGCTATTACCCTACAGATGAAAATTTATATAATTGAATATTCTGTTTTTGCAAGTATGCATCTAGATACTGTTTAAACATCTGTACAGACTCTGATAAAACCACTTCAGAGAATTCCACATTCATATTGTTCTCATGGAAAAAAAAACCCTTTCCTTTGCTTTAGAATGCTTTAATTAGTGCCAGAGTGAATTACCACTTCAAATACAATTTTACCTGCATTATCCACTAACAGCTAAAATTCCATTTAACCATAATGTACTCCAATAGCTTCTATTCCCTTTTCTTTCCTTCCTTTAGTAGCCAATTAATATAACAATCTTGCTACAATTTTGCTTCAATAGCTTCAATTTTGGTGAGATCACTTTAACCATCCCCTAATGCATGCGTTTCCCCCCAGTTTTTTACTTCCCATGTAAATATACTTCTGAGCATACCTCAGTTCTGTAATCTTGCTGTCCTATGGGATAATTTAGATGCTGTATAGCTGTTACTCCTTCTCTCTTTCCCTCACATCTACCTGCAATATGCTGCAAAGGCAATTCCTTGGGCTGTGGTCCCGTCCGGTGATAGTTTTTACAGGAAATCCCCTTGTTCAGTCACACTGCATTAGCTGCCCCACATTGGAACGCTGAGATACCGGCAAGAGCTCTACCTCACATCAACTACCATAGAGAAAGGAAGCTAGAAGCCCGAGATCTAACGGAGCATACACACTTCTCTAATGGAGCACACACCCCAGCACAGATTTATTGCAGTTTAGGGCTGATGTCTTTTGTACATTGACACAGTTTATATTTTTTCTGTTGCCAGTTTTGCACACAATGTTTATAGGAGGGTTACTATGTTGCAAGCTTAGCTTATACCATAATGGTTACATTTGCAGTCAACATACTATATTCAGTAGATTAAATAAGCATAAATTATTAATAGTGATTCATGCTATAGCTCTCCAGTTTACTGTTTTATATATGTTAGCATTTCCTAATTGGTGTTACGCAAAACCCTAGGGTTCCACGAAATCAAAATTGGGGTTCAACGGCATTTCGCCACATCCAAATTGGCCACCACTGCCTGCTGTTCCCAAAGGTCAGAAACAGCATCTCATAAGAGGTCACGGGAGCACGATCTTAACAACGCGTTGCCGTCAGCACGCCTTGCCACCAGCATGCCCTGCTGTCAGAGCCCACCCTAGTGCCCGCCCTGCCATCAGCCAGCCCAGCCATCAGTCAGCCCGCCCAGTCGTCAGACAGCCCTGCCATCAGCCATTTTCTATCACTCATGGTAGAGAGTGGACTTGATGGTTAAAGCTCTGTTATTGTCATAGAAAGCTCTGTTAGGTAAGGATATAGAAATCTCTGTTAGGTAGGGACATTTAAATTTTCTGTAGGGACATTAAAAGACTCTGTGAGTGGCATTGAAAGACTCTGTCAGAGGCATTATAATTCTCTGTTAGGGACATTAAAAAGGCTCTGTAAGAACATCAAAAAGGCTCTGTCCGGGGCATTAAAATTCTCTGTTAGGGACATTAAAAGGCTCTGTCAGGGGCATTAAAAGACTATGTAAGGGTCAAAAAATGTTTACTGTATTTTTCAAAGTTTTCAAATCTTTTTGCTCTAAGTCCTGCTTAAGTTCAGTTCTTTTGAAGAGTGTTATCAAAATCAGCATCCTTTTCAGTCAGGTTGTGAGATCTATATTTTTTTCAAAGTGTTCAAATCTTTTTGCTCCAAGTCTAACTCAAAAATTCTGCTTAAGTTCAGTTCTTTCTAAGAGTGTTATCAAAATCATCATTCTTTTCAGTCAGGTTGTGAGATCTGTATTTTTCAAAGTGTGTTTTTTTTTTTTTTTTTTACCAATAAACAACCATGAATGTGGAAAGCTGGTTAAAGCAGGGAACTCTTCAGTGAAAAAAGTATTACTGCTTCTACCTGTAAGGCACTTATAGAAACTGAGAAAGAAGATACTACTAAAAATCCGGAAAACATGCCTGAAATAGTTGTATCTACTATTCCTCAAATAGCAGAGACAAGTGACAAGTAAAAAAAAAGAAAAGCAAATCTTCTTCTCAAACAAAGAAAATATGATGATGGTTACTTGTCATTTGGATTCACAATTCATATTGTGCCAGAAATTAAGATTATCATGAAGCACAATGCGTACTTTGCAATAAAATATTGCCAAACGGTTCATTAGCACCTGCTAAATTACATCGTCATTTTGAGCAAAATTACGCAGAGTACAAAGCGAAAGCTAAAGGAATATCAGAAGAGTAAACAATTTATGAGCAAAAAATTTCAAAATGCTAAAGAAAAAGCCACAGAGGCTTCTTACAGAGTGAGTTACCGCATAGCACTTGCAGGAGAAGCACACACACTTATGCAAAAGAAATAGTGTCATGTATTTTAAGTGAGAAGTTGAGTAAATAAATTGAAGCTGTGCCACTTTCCAACAACACAGTTTTGCGCTGTATTCATGATCTTGCTGATGACATCCATACTGAACTAATTTCTCAACTGCATCAATGTGATGGATACTCACTGCAATTAGATGAGTCCACAGATGTTGCAGGACTTTCAATTTTGTTGGTTTTGTTGGTTTTTGTTAAATATAATTGTGGTAGGGGCATAAAAGGCCGAGGCAAAAGTCTAAGGAGAGTATGATGGTGTAGCAAGGTGTAAGAAGAGGAAAAGTCGGTTGAGGTGTGCCGGAACCGACGTAGCAGTAGGCCTGTAAATAAAGAGGGCCCACCCAGTAATGAATAGAGAAAAGTATAAAAGGGAGAGGAGGGTGGGGTCAAGCAACGCTAAGGAACGAACGGGACAGGTGGAGGTGAGTAGTGAGCTTAAATAGGGGACCATGCCCCTCCCACAACTGCAGGCCAAGCCTTCACATTTGTGGTAGGGGCATAAAAGGCGAGGCAAAAGTCTAAGGAGAGTATGATGGTGTAGCAATGTGTAAGAAGAGGAAAAGTCGGTTGAGGTGTGCCGGAACCGACGTAGCAGTAGGCCTGTAAATAAAGAGGGCAAAAAATTAAATACAGACTAGAATTTATAACCATCAACAACAGGAAGAGCATGACTTACATGGACATAGACATGTTTTTTATACTAAGTTCTGTATTGGTTATGGTATGAACCGAGTATGTGGAGGATTTCCAACGACCTAGTGAAAGCCACCCCTATTCTGAAAGAGTGGCCAGAATAGTCAGAAGAGTTGAGAACTAGCCTTGTGATCGAAGATCTGTCATAAGTTATAAATTTTGTTGTGGTAAGGACTGACCCATGTAAAGTTAACAGTGGTGGGAAGCATGGATATAACGAGTCAGTAGAAAGGAATCTAGCATCTTAATCGGGCACTTTTGTTATGTGTCGGGTGATAAGGAATGTAAACGACTTGACCATCCAGTGTAGTTCAAGTGTGAGGAAGTGTAAGTGCATAATAGTCTCCCAATTTAACTAGGTGAGACCTCCTGAGGCTATATTGTACGTTGGTTATGGTAGTTGTGGTAATTTCACGGGGTCTAAGAAGAAGACTGTAGAAATCCAGGTAAATGGGAGTTTTACTTACATGGTTGGAGCGAAAAATCAGAAGGTCCTGCATCTAAAATGTCCGAAAGACAGTGAAAATAATTGGAAGTCAATGGGTAACCTGCTATGTGTTGGGGGGTGTCTACTTTGCTGAATGCCTCTAAATACGGATTTGATCTGGTATGATGACCTGAAGATGTGTTTGTTGGGAAATAAACAAACATGTGGTGTTGTATCCCTGATAGGTACAATGTAATGGTACTATGTGACAGTGTGAGTTTAAGGTGGCAAAAAAAAAAAAGCGAAACCTACCACAATCGACATAGCAAAAGAATCAGTAACACCATAGCTACATAGCCTGCGTCAATCAAGTTCAGCCATGCCCACATATGTCCCCGCCGTTGATCCAAAAGAAGGCAAAAAACCTATTCTGTAGCGGTGCCAATTTGCAACAAACCAGGAAAAAATTCCTTCTTGACCCCAACAATGGCAGTCAGATGTCTCCTTGGATCAAGCAGCTATTACCCCACTAATTAGAAATTATAGCCCTGTATGTTATGGTTTGCAACCGAGAAACAGCGAACCGGACAACCCAACCCCAAAGCACAGCGGCCGCTGCAATCGAGATAAAGTTAGGAAAAGAGCAGAGGTAGAGGAAAACCCTCAATGCCCAGGTCCTCCGCTGGACAAGAACCTCAGAGTCCCTAGGAACCGCAAAAGGCAGAGAAGCCGTTAGTGGCTGCCACATCCATCCACATCATGGTGATGCCTCTGAAATTGCAGGGGGGAAACATACTTTTCCCCTTCCAGGAGAGGCAGGGAAAAATACCTTGGATGGAATCAGGGGATACCAAAAACTAGGAGCTTCCTGCGAAGCCTGGGGACCCAGACCTCGATCACGACCGACAAATTCCCATAGGCATAAGTCCCGTTCTCAACGACATCTTGAGAGGCAATGAGGAGCAAAACCAGGTTCACGTCCTGCCGTCCAAGACATCCTTCAGAATACAGGCCGGGATGACATCATGAGGGGTATCAGTACTACCTGACAAATTACCCTGACCAGCCGAGGGAGGGTCAGCCGGGACTGGAGCTGGAAAAGGCTGGCCGGCGACTCGGCCCGAGAGGCAGATTCCAGTCCGTTCAATCTCTGGATGCCACAAGAGAGACCACACGGAGCGCACATTAGAGGGGTCCGCACCCCATGGGTCCACAGAGGAGGAATGCAGCAGCCTGAACAGTTCGGCCTTCCTAGTGTATGCAGGGAATGGGAGCTGACATTTCCGAAGATCAACTGCGAGGAGAAGAATAGACCTGGATCCGAAGGAGGCAGGCATGGCAGAATCTCCCCTGCGAGAAGGAGTACCAGACCTAGCCGGAGTGCCGGGCAGGAACAAGTCTTCGCCATCTTCCGGCACGTGATCCATGCTAGAATAAAGAAACAAGACATCAGAGCAAGAAAAGGACCAGAGTAAGTGTAGGACCAGTGTGAGCTGGCTAGTTAGCTAGTGCCGCAAGGCAGCGAAACAATTAAAAACTAAGTTGGTGACAGGTGAGGCCCTGCTAGATGCCAAGCGGCTTGAGAGGCTCTATCTATGCGTTGGCGCGAGGGGGTTTCGTGGCCACCGAAACGTTGTGGCGGGGTGTCGGCCTCTCGGTGACCAGTAAAACATAAGACAGAATGGGAGTGACAGGTGAGGCCCTCTCTATGCCACGTGCGAGGCGACTAACTATGATTTGGCCCGAGGGGCGTAGTACCTCCGAGTATGAGGATGGGTGTTGGCCTCGCGGGACCACTAAACTAAGGCTAAGAAAGCCAGGGGAGATTACCACTATTGGACACCTAAGACCCTAACAGCCAGCCACGTCTAGACTAAGAGGGGTAGTGAAGTGCGAGACAGGACGTACCTGGGGAAAACGTGTAACAAAAACGTAGGGGAGGAATGAGGCAGTAACGTAAGGCAGACCGTAGCTGGAGTGCGGAGTAAGTACATCAGAGACCAAGTGGTCAGGCCGTACAGAGGGAGCATGGAAATAGAACGATTATTGGTATATGGCCGCCCGGGGCCCTATGGATCAGAGCGTGGACCCAGACACAGAGAATAAAAAAAATAAAAAAAATAAAAAAATTAAAAAAACACAGAATAAAAACATACCTTCCAGGAGGTAGAGCAGCACAAGAGGGAGGGAGAGCAAAATGCAGTCTAGCGAGACCGTACACAAAACCTGAAAAAACAGATTAGACAAGGCCATGGAGGCCAGAGGGACCCAGAACCTGGACAGGAAAAACCCCAACTTCAGAAGACAGAAAAACCAAGGTTCGCTGGCTTAAGTCTAATGCATGTAATTATTTAAAAACATACAAATTATTTAAAGTTTTATGATAAATGTTAATTTTGTGAAACTGTCCCTTTAAGAGACAGCATGACAACCAGCGTTAGTGTGTATATATATATATATAGGTTATTATAATTCACTATTATTTTTTATTTTATTTATTTTTTTATTTATTTTTATATTATATGTATATGTTTAAAAGCGTTGTAACAAATGTAATAAGAGAAAACACCAGTAGGGGTCGGACAGGAAACAGACATACCCAACCACGAGGAGAGGAGACAGCACAGCGCTCAGAAAGAAGAAAAACCCGAAAGCCCAGGAAAAGAAAATTTGCGGGAAAAAGGAGCGACAGTCAAACAGGCACAGGAACACCCAAGGGAAGGTAAGCTTGAAACATGCGAAAAGAGAAACTCCCGAACGGCGAGACCCGTTCGGAAGGAAAAAAACACAAGAAACATAGGAGAACCCAGAGGAGAGGTTGAGGGGGGACGGACCCACACCGCGAGGACACCAGTGGAGTGCGACCATGGCGCGACGGCAGGGTAAGTAACTTACAGCACCAGAAAACATGCGGCTGCAGGCTAGGGGCAACAGGAGCCGGAGCGGAATACAGCCACAACGCAGCAGCGGACGGCAGGAACGAGAGCCACGAGGAGCAGGAAAAGGAGCGAAGAGGTAAGGGGACCGGAAGCAGCGTCAAGCAACGCTAAGGAACGAACGGGACAGGTGGAGGTGAGTAGTGAGCTTAAATAGGGGACCATGCCCCTCCCACAACTGCAGGCCAAGCCTTCACATTTTTGACAAAAAGATTGAAGAAGACTTCTCATACCACTGGTGAGAACATCTTTAACTGTATCCTGAAGTTACAGTAAGTTGTAGTGAGTTAAATGAAATTGAATGAAATTAAGTAAAATTAAGTGAAATAATAAAGTAGTTATAGTACACTGAACGAAATATGTTATAGTCAAAAGCTGATAACTGACTTCCCGTGCACAACATTAATACGTAAATTACAATTAATTTACAGATTAACATGTTGTGTTAATTGTATTGTTGGTAAAAGAGTTCCCAACCTTTCCAGTTATCCTGGAATTTTAACATGTTTCCTTTTTTGTCCCATTCCTTTTCATGGTGGAATGTATGGTCTACCCTTCTGAGTACTTCTGGTATTGTGGGACAAGTCGTACTTTTCCAATGAAATGCGATGCTTATCTTTGCTGCTAATAATATATTCAGAGCGGCAGGTTTGGATGGCATCGTTCCCAGCGTGGGGATTATATGCAGTAAGTAATTTTCTGGTGTGAGTATCAGCTCGCTTCCTATTACCTTGTGTAATATCTTTTGTATTTGGAGCCAAAAAAATTTCAAGTGTGTGCAATCCCAGAATATGTGTTTTATGTCCCCCCTTACTTCATTGCATCACCTCGCAGTTATACTCCCTCCCCCTAAGGTAAAAGCTCACGGTGATTTTAAACTGTAAGCATAATTTTATTAGGATCATACCTGAGCAAGATACTGTAACCTAACATGTTATATTTCTAACAAAACAGGAGCCCAATTGGAAGTCTCTTCTGTAACACCGTTTACTCAAATACCTAATTGTTATCAGAATGTTTTATTATCATAAACCCTTCTTAGCAGCACACACCCATGCATCTTGTAACAGAAGGTTTTCTAATGACTGTCAAGCTTAAAATATGAATGTAACTATAGTTGATCCTATGTTACTTTGTTTTAAAGGTGACCAAAGATGGTCCTAAGATAGACATATGTTTATGTAGTTTGTTACTTAATAATACTCATATGTTAATAATTTTGATGTAGATTCTATAACATACATATGTTTATACAAACTGTTTTTCAAATGAGGATATTTCCTCAATGTTTGTTACATTTTACCGATTTCTTTGTTTTTTTTTAAATCAATAAAAATTATATATTGGAAAAAAAAGTGTATCCAAAATATTAAATTCTTTGAAAAATCTATCCAATCTTGTGTAAAATAAAAGTCACCCTTTAACCCCTTGACGACCGATGACGGTTCAGGACTGTCATCGGAAAAATCCCCTTGGGGACCGATGACGGTCCTGAACCGTTATAACGGTCTGGGGCTACTTACTTGATCGCCGTCGGTCTGCCCGGGCAGTCTCCC